CAGGCTACGGAATAAGCTCTCTGAAATATATATGGTCCTTGGACATCAATTTGTTAGTAGTAGAAACCCTACTTTAATGTTCGGATTAGAGTCACTTATTAAAACGTTTAAATAAAATATTAATTATTTGAAGTAATTTTTTATTATAAACATTAATTATTTAAAGTAATTTTTATTTAAAATAATTTTATGATAATATTATAAATTGTTTATATTTATTTTATAGTTATTTTATAAATTAATTAAAAAATAAATACATTAAATTAAATGATAAGAGAATAAGAGATAATAACTTTTTAAAAATTATTCAAAAAATTTAATAAAATAAAATAAATAATAAATTACTTAAAAATATTATAGTATCATAAACATAAATTTTTATTTTATAACTTTTTTAAATAAAAAATAACTTATATGAGTTACTCTATTAAAAATATCTTCAATAAAAAATGGTTATAAATCTATTATTAATATTTTAAATTAAATTTAATATTAATTTTTATATGATAATAAGAAACTTACAAATTACTAGAATTTTCTAGAGAACAACTTATAAATAAATTATATTTATATAAAAAAATATATATCCATCTAATTTAACGATAAAATATATTCTTTATAATTTATTTATATAATGATATAAAATAAATTTGGAAAACGCGTCATTCGATCAAGCGAAAAATACCAATTTTCGCTCAAGCGAAACTTGAACGAGTGAATTTCAGTGAGCTTTAACTTATTTTCACTCAAGGGAGAGTCAATCTCACTTTCACCCTCGAGCGCACTCTCACATCCAACATATAAATATATAACTATATAAATATATCAATATATATAAATATATATATATATATTTATATATTTTATATTTATGTATTTACACGAGATATATATTTATTTGTATATAAATATAATTTATTTGTAAGTTATTATTAAAAAATTATAGTAGTTTAGTGGTTGGAGTATCAATTTTCATCTCTAAAGTACTCGTGTTTGGGTTTGAATCTTATCGGTGACAATTCTTTGACTTAATAACTTAAGTGAATTTTTGACTGAAAAAAAATAAAAACACTTTCTAGAAAATATATTAAATAAATATATATTTATACGGATATATATATATATATATATTTATTTATTTATTTGTATATAAATATAATTTATTTGTAGGTTATTATTAGAAAATTAAAATAGTTTAGTGGTTGGAGTATATACAAATAAATATATATTTACACGGTATATATATATATATATATATATTTATTTATATATAAATATAATTTATTTGTAAGTTATTATTAGAAAATTATAGTAGTTTAGTGGTTGGAGTATCGACTTTAATTTCTAAAGTACTAGGTTTGAATATTGTCAGTGACAATTCTCTAACTTAAGTGAATTTTTGATTGAAAAAAAAATAAAAATACTTTTCACGTCGGTTCCATCGGTTCATCTGGAACCGACATGGAATGTGTCAATTAAAAGACTTTCAACATCGGTTCATCCAGTAACCGAGCGTGAAAAGTATTTTCTATGTCAGTTGACTAAAAATCGACGTAAAATGTGTTTAACATTCAACTTTCAACATCGTTTTTAGCCAATCGGCGTTGAAATTATATTCAACATCGTCTTAGCTTTAACCGATGTTAAATGATGACGTTAAAAACATATTTTGTAATAATATATGTGTTTTTTATTTATTTATTTTGTGGAGAAAATCTGTCTAAAATTGAATGATTCTTGAACACAAAGGATTAATTAATACACAAAAACATACTTTTCAAAATCAAAAGTTTTGAAACAAATTACAGTCTTCTTTAGATTGAATAGTGAATTTGAGACAATAATAAAAAAGAAAGTAGAGTAATTTTGATTAAGAAAAAGAGAATAAAAATAGAAAAGAATAATTAATTTTTAAAATAATTTTATTTATTATTTTTAATTATTCATAATAATTATAATTTTAAAAATATTTTTTTCCAAAAAAATATCTATATAACTGTAAATAATCAATTTATATAATATATATTTTATATTTTTGTATTTCTTTATAAAAATAAGATGAATTTTTTCTTGAAAATATTTAAATATTTACTTAAAATTTCAAACTTCCGTCATATTTAATTGGTTATGTTCTCTCCTTCTACTGATACAAATGCAGAATAAAAGATTACAAAAGATAAAAGATTAATTTTTTTTTTTAAAGAATACATTATTCAATCATGACTTATAATAATCTCCAAACTATATTCAAAATTAAGGATCGTTATATTAATAAATAATTTTTAAATGATACAATGAGTTAATAATTACATTTATTGTATAATAATACTAATAATATTTAAATAATAAAAAATTATCTGTAAATATATATATATATATATATATATATATATTATTTATTTTTTTCCTTTAAAAATTCCTTTTGTTATCAAATCATACTATTACAGCTGCTTCACTTTTCTTACATCGCGGAGGCCTGGTAGTATATTTGTGTTGGTTTTTTATGTTTTAAAATATATTTTAAAAGTAATATAAAAAAGAATTTTAGTAATATTTTATTTTAAATTTTATATATGAAATTTTTTAATAAAAATTTAAATACTAATCAAATTTTAGTTGTAACAATAATAATTATTAATAAATAATTATTTAATTATAAATTATTTATATAATTATTAAATATTTTTTATTAATAAAACAACTTTTTAAAATAATATCTTTAAATTATATATTTTATTTTTTTAACAATATATTTGGATATGTAATAATAAATTTTTTTATTATAAAATTATTTTTTTTCTAAAATTAATTGAAATTAAATTAATAATATAATATCATATCATAAATAAATAAAAATTAATAAAATTATTCATTTAATTTTTATAATTATTAAAATAGTAATTAAAAGTATATATATATATATATATATATATATATTAAAATTATAAACATAAAAACAAATAATAAAAATAATTTTATAAAACAACATTTTTATTATACTTTTTATTTTTTCTATTTATATATAAAAATTAACATATTTATTAGAAAAAAATATAATATTATATTTTTATTTTTTTTCTTATTAATTAATAATGAAAATGGTCACTTTCTGACAAACAGACAAATAAAAACTTGAACTACATAAGCAATGAATTAGAAGTATAGAACTAACCACCCCGCAAGGTCCCAAAAGAGAAAACCAAATACATACATAAGCACATCTATAAAATCATTTTTCTTAACAGTATAAGATTTTGATGTCGGTTATAACTGGCACCAATATAAAAGTAATTTATTATCAGAACAATTTTATATATTTATAATTTATTATGGCACGTAAACTAGAATCGTGTTGTCATTAAATTTTACTTTTTTTCATTAGTGATAGAATTTCTTTGAAAATATTATCTAACCTTGGTTGATAATTTTTCTTTAATAAACTATTCAGATAGAGAAATCACTAAAAAAATTTGACATCATTATACTAAGTACATATCCAAATTAAAAGACTGCAAGACAAGATTTTTTTTTTTGAAATTTACGTGTATATTAAGTTATCTGTATCAACGTCATTTTCATTAATATAATTCCCATTTAAAACAGGCAAAAGAGTAGGGCATTCATTTTTAACAGTACATATAGGCTAATTTTAAAAATTGGGATATAATTTTTTATTTTTTTAATTATTTTATAGATTTTGAGTTTTTATACAAAAAAAAGTTATTTTTATACTAGAAATTTTGATATTTCATCTAATACAAAATTTAAAGAATAATAAAATTTATATTCAAAAATTCATGTTGAAGATTCGGCATTGTTGATAAAAAGTTTGTTGGTAGATAGAACTCTAATTTATTTATTACAACCTGTATTTGTCAACAAATTGTAATAAATAGTGAAAATGACCAAAAGAATTTAAGAGAGGCACGATTATCAGCACCATTTAAAAAATCAGGTACATAGAAGTGTTTGTTCAGAGGAAGAGAAATGTCTGTACCATTAACACGATATATTTAATATAAAATGAGTGAAAAATTATTAATTTTGAGTTTATTCATTATTTTAAAATTATTTTAAATTTGTTAATATTAAATAAAATAAAATATATTGATAAAATTAAAATAATAAATTTTTATATTATTTTTAATGATATTTTACATCATATTTATTCTCATTCTTTTATTTTTTTTTAGATATAACTAAAAATATTAAGGTGTTCAATTGTCTAAATCTTCTTTCTCCAAACAATATAACAGTTTTTTTTAAGGATTAACTAAATAATATATATAATTGATAAAAAATCCATTGTTGAACTCATAATAAATTAAAAGTTGCTCCGGCTACTCAGCCCAGAACCTTGAGCATTGTACAAGGACGTGCTGTAGGAGTAACACATTACCTTCTAGGTGGAATTGTCACAACATAAGTATTCTTCTTAGCAATAATTATTGTAGTAGGATAATAGTTAGGAGGATTTGAAAATCATTATGACATTAAGATTTTCAAGCTTTAGTAAAGGTTTAGCTCAAGACTCCACTACTCGTCGTATTTGGTTTGGTATTGCTACCGCACATGATTTCGAAAGTCATGATAATATTACTGAGGAATGTCTTTATCAGAATATTTTTGCTTCTCATTTTGGGCAATTAACAATAATTTTTCTGTGGACTTCTGAGTTGGCAAGGGAATTTTGAGACATGGGTACAGGATCCTTTACATGTAAGACCTATTGCTCATGCAATTTGGGATCCTCATTTTGGTCAACCAGCTGTAGAAGCTTTTACCCGAGGAGGTGTTCTAGGCCCTATTAATATAGCCTATTCTGGTGTTTATCAGTGGTGATATACAATCGGTTTACGTACTAACGAGGATCTTTATACTGAAGCTATTTTTCTATTGATTCTTTCTACTATATCTTTAATAGCGGGTTGGTTACACTTGCAACCAAAATGGAAACCAAGTGTTTCGTGGTATTAAAATGCTGAATCCTGCCTCAATCATCATTTGTCATGACTATTCAGAGTAAGTTCCTTGGCTTGGACAGAGCCTTTAGTCCATGTCGCTATTCCGGGGTCCAAAGGGGAATACGTTCGATGGAATAATTTATTAGGTATATCGCTGCACCTAGAAGGATTAGGTTCATCTTTTATAGGTCGAGTGTAATCTTTATGCTAAAAAAAATATTTATTAATTTTAATATTTATTCGTATATAAATTATATATATATATATATATATATATATTTATAAACCTTTATATGTATTTTATTTTTGGTCAAAATTTAGTAAAAATAAATTATTTTCTAAAATATAATTAAATTAAACTAATAATTAAGTTATATATATATATATATATATATATATATATATATAATATTTTAGTCTTAATATGAACAATTATATTATTATATAGTTTAGTTCATGTAAAAATAGAATTTTTCTCTTTACCTTTTTAAAAATAGTTTTTGATATTATTTTATGATTTAAAAAAATTCTTATAGTTTTTCAATATATATTACAAAATATTTTACTTTTCAATTCTTTTCCTCTTCAAACATCATCACATGAAAAGATAGTGTTTCTTTGTGTTTTATTTATGATTTAGAAAGTCTTGTTTGAAGTGAGTTGCTTCTTCTATTGTCTCGTCATTTCTCATTTCTTCATGAGTTTGGATTTATGGTTTTATTTTTTATATAACCTTTTTTGAAAACAAATCATTAATAAAAAATTACAATTAAACAAGTTTGAAAATGATTTTATAATTTTTTTACATTTTTTTCATTTCTAAAACGGTTTTTAAATTCTAATTTAAATAAGTTTTTTTTTAATTTAAAATTTTTTTGTTTAACATTATTTACCAAAAATGTTTCTAAAAGTTTAAAAATAAAATTAAACCAAAAAAATTTTATATTTAAAAAAATTGGTTTTAGTAAAAAAAAACTTAAGTATTTTTTTAATTTATTTTCTCTTATCAATATTTTACCTAAGCAACTTATCCTCACTGGTCATCAATAATTTGAATTTGAGTTTTAATGATTAATTCCATTACCGATTTTTTTTAAATTATGTATTTCAATCCAAATCAACCCGATGAATAACATTATTGGTTTGAAATGAGTTGGCAGTTAATGTTTTTAAAAGACTTACATTTGTTTTACCATATTTCAATAAGAGTTTAGACATGTTTTTAATGGGTTATATCATATATGTATTTTAATTTATTTTATCCCTTGAATATTTTTTATATTTTTTCAAGTAATTATTTTTAGAATATTTGATAATTCTACACTGTGAGACTAAATTGAAATTGTGACTAGTTCACACACTCACGACACTCAGCTATACTGTAATCGTGTTATGTACGTGTTTTATTTTATTCTTTAATCAAATATATAATTAATACCCTGAATTTAAAATATCTCATGTCACATTAATTCATGATTAGTTGGGTTAAATTTTTGAGTTTAACTTAAGTTTGATATTTAAACAAAGAATAATAACTTTGACTAGATTGATTTAGTTTTATTTGAATAGTATGTTCGTATTTAAGTTAAGTGGGGTCATTGTACTCATGAATATTCTAGTGATCTATTAATACATATTTCATTATAATTAAAAATAATATCAAAAGTATATATTTGAAAATTACATTTAATTTCTCTAACATGTCTAATGATATTCTTATTGGAAATTTACAATATGTTTTTATTCTAATTACAAATCTTCAAATGATAAATATAGAATTCAATTTTACTCTTCATAATTTTTTTCCATTAAATTGTATTGGATTGGAATGTGTATAAACAATAAATCAAACACACATTACGACTTTATTTATTTATAATTTTTAAAAATGGTTTTTTATTTTTTTTAGTTTTTAAAAACTAAAAAACTTTTTGATAATTATTTTGTTAAAAGAGTTTTTAATTTTTTTAAAAATTTAAAAATGACTTTTTATTTTTTATCCCAATTTTTCATAATTATTTATGTTATTTTTTTCGTCTAAAATAATTTTCAAAAAGTATTAGTACATACAGACAACCAAACGTAAAAAACAACTGATAATTTATTCTACCAATATAAAGATAATAAAAATATTTATATTCACGTATTTCTTTCTTTCACTCTCTTATCTCTTTTACTCATTTATTTAGTAAGGAGAGTTCTCTATTGATTGTGTATTCTATTGTCAAACTATCATTTTCTTTTTTAAAATTATCAAAGAAGTGTTTTTTTTTTCAACTTATTTTCAAAACAAATATCTAAAACTATTCTTCATAAGAAAAAAAAAAATCCACTTAACTTCTTTAATATGATATTGTTTTTCCATATTTCTTTATCCCTAAGATTACGTTCAACAAACGCTCCATAAAAGCCCGATAACCGGTCCATTCCAAGTTGTAGAAACCACACCGCATCACCAACCAACACATCCTACTTTCGGTTTTGTGCGTCGATGGCAACGCAAATGAAGTTGGCATGATTATATGTATTGAGAGTGACAGTGAAGCATGGAGGCAATGTGGTTACGGGCAAGATGGTGCTCGGTAGTTGGTAGGTAGTGCAGAAAAGGTGTAAAACTCTGATTCAAGTGTGACAATGAAGACCGGCTCAAACATGCAGTAGTGGCTGTATATGCGTTCATGGTTGGTTGGTTCGTAGACAGAAACTACCACTGTGGGGTAGATGCTAATAGGGTTGCTTACAAGAAATATTAAGGACGCTCAATTTCTGGATCTTGTTGGGACGATGGTTGTTGCTCTATTATGAGAGAAAATATGAAGGTTTGCTTTTCTTCATTTTTGAGGATTTTAAGAGACGTATCTGGGAATTGGGTTGTTGTTTTTGTTGGTCGTAGGAGTTCTGATTAAAGCTGGTTTGTAGAAATTTTCCGGGTGAAGTTTGGAACAGTGTTGGTCATGGACGAGGATGTTTTCAGGATAATAGATTGGTAGGAAATGGAGTGGTGTACGTATTGCGATTTGGAGAACTTTGGTTTGCTCGCTATTTTCTTCTTTTTAACCAATATTTTTTTAATGACTCATTTGAAACGATGTAATATTAAACATTTACATAGTAAGAGATAGAGAGAGGGACACCATAATGCTATACTATGATTGGCCAGTGGTGAGTGTGCTGAAGACAGAGAGAAAACTAGAGAAAGAAAGATAAAACTCATTACATGTTGAATAGATATCTGTATATTGAGAGTAATTAATGCAAAATAATATTAAAAACGATTTTGGATAAAGGGAAAATATTAAACTAATAAATTTATTAAAAATATAATATACATTCTACCTGTTCCAAAGAATACACAAACACTATGTCTTTACTGAGACGCACCAATACTTGTTTTTACTTTTACATTCTTTGAACTCTTAATTCAATCTTCATTTAACTTTACTCAATGGAGAATTTTATATTTTATTCATGATATATGTTAAAATATTTGAAGTTAAGGACGTACGATATAAAATTAGTGCTTAGTTATATGGATTGAAAATATTATCCAAAATATCATATTATTAACAAATTGAGAAAGAGTCTAAATAATAAAAAAGAGTACAGAGATGCATCTATTGGTGGAAGGATCCGAGAAAGGGGTGTGCGTGGTGACAGTGAAGAAAAATAGTTTGATAAAATGATATCTTGGAAGTTAGGACAGGCAAACTAGATTTTGGTTGGGTAATTGGGAGGAGAAGAAAGCGTAGCCAAAATTTATGAACTCTAAACAACAATAAGAGGTCATTGGAAATATAGGAAGTAATAAGGTGGACAATAATTGGGTGGGGAACCTTAAGTGAAGAAGGAAATGGTTCGTGTGGGAATTAGATCAATTTAAGAACTTGGAGAAAATGTTAATCATTGTAAAACTTCAAAGGAGAGTGAGGATAAGTGGGAATGGTGACAGATATGTTTTTGTCTGGACTCTTCTGCTGGTTGTTGCCAGAAAACTATTCAATTTAACGAGCTTTAGATAATTGTAAACTATGTCTAATAGATTAGTATATTTTTCTATTTTTAAGATATTCTTTTTTTTTTTTAATTTATTTTTCATACTCCCATTTCTATTAAATCAACAAAATTCAATAATGTTTCATAAATTAAAAGATACACAGTAAGATGATAAATTCAAAGAACACGTCAATAATTATTATTTATAATAAAAAAAAGTATACTGTAATTAAGATGATGAATTTCGGTAAAATTCTTAAGAACGGGAGAAACAACCGAAGTCGATCTTAAAAAAAGAACCGGTTGAACTATAATGTTATCAGAAATTAATATAAGCCATTATGCAGTTGGTTTATTACTGATATATGTCCTTTTGTGCAGTAAAAAATCTCTTTCTCCCCATGAACCTCATCTGGTGATATCCTATCTAATTTCTCAATCCATCGGCTTCACTCATTAATAATTTGGCTGTCAACTCTTTTGTCAACTGATAATCCCAGCAGCTACTTGTCCCCCATTTTATTTTTCTGTTGTGCTTGTTCCTGTTATTCTTTTTATGAGTTCAGTATATATTCTATTTTTGGTGTAAAACGGTTCCATGATTTTAGAATCCATGATTCTAGGCATATCCTAACTATCCACCACTTCAGATTAACACCTATGATCTAGTATTCAATTTCTCACTACTAGGCTTACCTAGTGACTATGCACGTTGATATCGAAAGGAAAAAAGATAAAATAAAAGGCATATATGTCTGCTTTACTTGCACTCCAAAAATGCGATATTTGCGGTCCCATGCCTGTGGGGGATTGATGCTGCTGGCTATGATGTCCAATTCCAAACTACATTTCATAATCTGAGGAGGTGAATTCATGGTGTACCACGTAGCATGGTGGGTCCATGAAACTATCCTAAGCTCTTTTCAGAATCTGGTAATGAAAAACACGTTCTGATCAATCTCCAATCATTTACTTATAGGCGTCTCAGCTTTTGCCCTCAAAATTCCTGGTTATTTATGAGACATTTTGTGACAGGCCTTCAACAAGTGAGTAATTTTCACTTAATGCTTTTAGAGACAGAAAGTTTACAGAACTAGTTGCTTTCATAAAAGAAATGCTAAAACACGCAATATGTATATAGTGCATGGAATTCAGGGTGTGCTGATCATAGATTTCAATATTTCAGGATATCAATAATTATGGAAGCAATTGTCATAGATGAAACATGCGTAACCTGCGTTAGTGACTTTGATGCTAAGGGAGAAAATTCAGCAAACAAAAATGGAAAACAAGTAACCAAATGTTAAAGAAATATTGGACTAAATGGTAAAGCGAAACCGTCAATGGTTTCAATTATAGCTGCAAATAAGGTCTCATATCAAATCTATCAGCTTTCAGTGCTGCTGGATGATGACAAGGTTCAACCTATCTTTATACTTCATGGAGTACATTTTCTAATAAGGATATATGTATGTAGAAAAGACAGAGAATAAGACAATTAAACACTCCTCTTATTTGTTCATTTGAATATGAAATCCTTTATATGATAATAGCAAATGAAATATCTCGTCATATGAAATATATTGCCAATGATATCACAGAAAAGAAACATGACAGGTATGCATGCCCATTGGCCAAATAGTTTAAAACGTTTGTAGGAGGTAAACTTCTCTTTAAGTATTTACATCAGAAAAAATAAAAATGAAAATGAAGTAATTTAAATTACTTTATAACGTATCAGTTAGTTTGTAAAAAAAAAGTATATTAGTTTATTCTAAAGATAAATTTTAATTCATTTATAAACTAATTTTAGTTTATAGTGAATATATATATATATATATATATATATATATATATATATATATATATATATATATATTGCAATTGTAAAATATTGAAATAAAACCCTAACTACCCTTAGCGTTTACATTTGATTTGAGATTTTTTTTTAATTTTAATTTTAATTTTATTTATGTTTTACAAAATTTGTATGAAAAAACTAAATTAGTTAAATATTTTTATATAAATTCTAAAAAAATAAATAAAATGAAATGTCATTTTAATTAAAAAGGAATATAAAAAAAAATACTTTGTCCAATTAAATGTCCATTGTGTCTTCAAGTTTTTTTCCATGTAAATAAATAGAAAGAAAAGAGCCAGGAGAAGCAAACAATATTCAACTCGATTCACAAAAAGAATGGGATAATTAGTTAATCATGAATGTGAAATTGATAATTAATTTTTTGATGGCGAATTTAATAAACTAGTTATTTTTAGTTCTTTTTCAATCACCTTATATGTATAAAATAAATTCAATCACTTTCAATTCCACCCATATATCAACCATTTGTTAGCAATTTTTTATCTTAAATTTTGGCTAGTTGAGTTTAAAATTCTATATCCTATTTCATTTGGTGAGAACATAACATGTAAAAAAAGATGACATTTTCATATATAATAAAAAGATATGAGAAAAGTAGAAAAACAAATAACCCTACAAATTATTTATAAATATTGATCGAATCTAATTTATTTGTCTCTCTGCATTTATTGTGGGTTTGAACAAATATCACGCAAGTTTTGACTCTAAAATTTAAGTAAAAAGTGTGATAATAAAAATGCAGAAATAATTATTCTTCGTATAGCTTCCGGTCTGAAATAGATCAAATGTAGGAATATATGATTCCAAACCAAGAAAAATGGATCTCTAACGCAGCAACTATCCTACCATAGCATTTATATATTTCTTGAAAACAAATGAAACATGAAAAATTCTTTATCAAAAGTGTGACACTTGGAGGGACAAAGTCAAGCGTCGCATAATTCAGCAAAGAAAATGTTCAAAAAAACAGGATCGCTTATTTCACTTGATGTGCCCTATCATTTATGGTTTAGTTGCGGATTGAAAATCGTGGATTTAATTGCATGAAATACAAAACGCACCTAAACCCAGTAAGCGTGTACGTCAATTTGAGTAAGTTTTTCGCGTTTAGCCACTGCGAAGCAAATTCATTTACAATGAATTGCCGACGCAACCCCGTTCTACGGAGTTAGGTGGCCCCATGATTTTCTGAAGAATTTTCTTGTAGGTTCTAATAGCTCAAAATAGTTTTTTTATTATTCATTTTATAATAAATTATTAATTTATTTTCCCAAATATTTCCCTCTCTTATTAAGTAATTTTCAAGTGCTAAACATCCAAAATTTTAATATCTTGTGCAATACATTTTACTAATGATTAGAAACCAATTTAATCGATTCTTCCATACTTAGAAGACTATTCATCATAATTTCTAATAATATAAAAAGGTGAGTTATATAATTTTCTTTCTGCATAATATGTGTATGGTCAATCTTGAATCTGCTACTGTATTCGGGGATAACAGAATAATCTTTGATTAGATTTGGGTCGCAGGTTTTTGTTATGATGAATGGAAGATTAAAAGTTCTTGCACACTAATTAGTATTTTGAGTATTGTTGTTGCTAAAGAAGCAAGTTATAATATTTAGCACTTGATTTTGCATGGCTTGCTTCTTTTTAGCATGGATCAATTTTTAATATTAAATCTTGCATGGCTTTATTCTATTATGGTAATATGGATAATCAATTATAACAATATTATTAGATAAGTTTTTTCACATATTTAACAACGGATTAATCTATACGTAAGTTAAACCTAACTTACACATAACTTTATCTACCAATGATTTATTCATAAACAATTCTTTAGCATGTTATCCATGAATTATTCCTCAAGTTATACGGATTAATCCATGAATAAGTAACCCACAAATTTAAAGCTTCGTTGTTATTGTTAATCGATAGTGGTTTCTGTGACTAACTTTCTGACTCTCTTTTTTTTCTGGGGTAATATTAATTATACAACTTTTTTTTGCTTTACTCACTGGCTGTCGATAATAACGATTTTTCTTATAATATTTGACAAAATATTAATTCAAAAAAAAATGAAAATAAATAAATCAACATGTCATATTAATTATTTCTTACAATTTACTAGAAAAAAATAGCATAAGTCATTTGATTTGGCTTGACACGAGAAGAGATTCATAGTAGATAATAGGTTGATTGTTAAATGAATTTAAACAATTATTTTCGTTAGTCATTCGAGAGGAAATATTAAGATATTTGTGTATGTGGGTTTTTTTATTATTGTATATTATTATAAACTTCCTGATACTTTAATTAAATATATAATACTACAAATAATTTGTCCTAAATTGTTTTAGAATTCACCCTTTTCCTTTTTTTAAGGCTTTCTTGGAGTCATTGTTACATGTTACTTTGTCGTTAACATGAAGTGTCCTTTATTGTTAATATATTTTTTCTAATTATTAATTAACAATATATTTTCATGTCGTTTTGGGTAAAAATGTTTAAATAATTTATATTTTTTTTATTTTTACTTGCAGATAAATGATAGTAGTTATTTTTTCATATGGTTGACAATATTTTTATTTTTAATTTATGACAAAATTTGCATGAATTAGTTTAACTAATATAATGAAGAATAGTATAAAATTCTAAACAATGATCCTAATGTTTATGTTGACAGTATATTCCCACAACACAACCAATACATCCTTCCTCTTAACATAATAATTTTTTTTATTTCAATAATATATTACTCAATTTGTTTTGAAATTCTATCGTTTTACTGGTTAGAAGTGTGATAAAGTATTTATCGTTTTGATACTTACCATTTTTAAACCTTGATAAAATATTTACTTATAATTTAAAAAATAAACAAGATTTTGTTAGAGAAACAAAATGACAATATAATGAACCTTCCAATAAAATTGAAATAATAAAAGATAAAAAATTATTCATACAAATTGGGGTATTAAAATGAGTCCATTCAACTCGTATAAAATGACTAGTCACGGATTTAGTCCAGTTCATTCAGTAATGAATATAAAAGTTTTGTAACTCAATCTGATCAATGAGTTATAGTAAGTAAGTTAGGTGAGTTAACTTATTTAAACATGTATGTTTTTAATTATTTTTAATTTTTTAAATTATTAAAATAGGTGAATTGACTTATTAATATAAATAATTTAGATGGATTAACTCACTAAAATATATTTTTTTTGGATTTGATAAAAAAAATAAAATATTAAAAATAAAAAAAGTCAACCCATCACTAAACTCAAACCTATTTAACCGCCAGTTTTAAGTCGTAATTACTTTAACTCACTAAGACTAAACCCACAGGAACCCACTTTACTCACATATTGACTCCTCTATGTAAAAATATAAAATAATGTTTCCAAACTAAATTGACAAAGTAAAGAAAGTAGAGAAATTAAAATTAATTATATCAAAATAAAAGGAAAATAATAGCCTCATATGAAAATTAAAATAATAAAAGAAGATTGGTGAGGAGATAAACAATCATCAACCATTCATTACTCATTGTTTTGGTACGTTACAAGTTTTTTTATCGAGAAGAAGAACGTGGAAATAGTTTAATTCAATGCGTAGATGTGAATGATTTAAGAAATAGGAACAAAATTTTAAGTTTAAACTAGATCAGACAAATTTTGATCAAACTCGCCTGTGGTTTAAATAAATTTATATTAGATTAGTAGGATTTCACCTATTTTATAAAATTAACTATTTTATCAAAAAAATTATTTACAAAATAAATATCATAAATTAACTTAAAAAAATATATTTATTTTAAAAATAAGTATAAAATTAAATGTTTAATATTCTATTATTATAAAATTTAATGATTAAAATTATTAATAAATTAAATAATTAAATTAACAAAAAATAAATATCTTAAGAAATCATAAATTTGAGTATTTTATAATATTTTTAATATATACATATCATCAACATTTAAGTCTT